TGTGGGTTGGTAGGAAATACTGTGATTTATTTTTCAAATGTTTATGGAAAAGGTGGTATACATAAATATACAAGTCCTATTAAGAAGTTCAGAATTTGGTGCTCTTCCAGGATGGCCGGTCTGTGAACCCAGACGTCATTCCCCACGCTTATTAATGAGCCAACAACAGGATCAGCCTGGATGGCAACATTCCCTATAAAATTCAATTATATATGGTTGATTCATGATATTTGGCACCAATGCAGGGTTTGAGATTCGCAGTATCCTGACGATACCTGTTTGAAATCTTGGATACCAGATGTTGAGACCTCGGTATATCCCATTTGCAGGCATTCTGGAATTCCGCGGGCAAAAATAGCAATTTCCGCTTTTGAGGTCAATTCCACGGCCAAAATAAAAGATAATATTCAAACATTACGGTTTTCATTGGGTAATCGCCTCATCATACAGAATCCGAGTGTACAAATTTCCATAAACTTGGACAAAAACATAGAACAATGACTTTTGTCAAGCTTCCAAACCATGTTTATTTTCTGCTAACTATGAATTAACTGGTGCTTGTATATTTGTCTTGACTACACATGTGGAAATGAAAGTGGCTCAGGCAAGAATCTCTTGGGTACCCAAATGCAAACATTCTGGAAGTCAGTTTAAATTGCGAAATTCTGTTTGAATCGCGGAATTTAAACTTTGGTAAAGTATTTTGTTATTTTCCCTTTAAATTCACAAAAAGATACATTTGTGTGATGTGATACAAGCAGGCCTCGAATTTCCCTGAAATCAATCGACGGCAATGGCGTTAAAAATTGCCGTAGAACGTAACAGCTGTCTACGGCAATTTTGGCAGTTTCCACGGCATTTTTCAAATTACTGTAATAAAACTTTAATTTTATTGTCACTTTGGATTTTTGACAAGCTAGAAACATGTCTACGTATTTCTTTAGTGTTTTTTTTCGAAGAAAACTGAGACTAAAATAGTGATTTACGCATGATTTGATCAACATCTGAATTCAAGTATCAAAGTAGTAATGCACAGACTACACGGCAAAAAATTGCCGTCGTTGCCGCAATGATCCGCGGCATTTTGTTCTCTTTCTACGGCAATTGCCGCGATTGCCGCGATAAAATTCGAGCCCTGGATACAAGACATTTTTGTAAAATTTAAGCCTTACGAACGGAGATTCCCTTCAAAGTGGAAGGACTTTCATCGATATTCATCATTTCACTAGCCATGCACTAACCTTTATTAGCACTTTAATTTTTGAACTTCTAGTGATATTCCTTAAACTGCACTTGTGTGAAAAAAGTTCGATAATGTTTGATGACAATAGACCTTTCCAAGGTTAACGACGCCATCATGAAACACAATAGTGCAAGGGGTGCAAATACAATGGAATTCCCTATAGGTAAATTTGCAAGGGGTGCAAACACAATGGTGAAACCAATGGATTCAAGATGGCGTCCTTAACCTTGGAAAGGTCTATTCAGTTTCCTTGACCGTGGATAAATACAATTTAAAAACATTGGCAGTGGCAACACGTTAGCAAAAACACACGCACTGTGATTGTTTCTATTTTGGCTTCTCGAACTTGCTGCCACACGGTACTTCGATTAAGAGCCGCCGATTGATGTACTGTATTAGTACGGCGCTTATTCGGGGACGGCGTTCAAACGAGTAATTACAGTTTTCACGTTGATGACGTGCGGTCTGCTGTTTTGTTTTATGTTGGGACTCACTGTATATTAAATATGTAAAATTTCTTGTGAAACCGAGAACTTTTATTCGACTTTCTAATATATGTATTTCTTACTATCTAAATTGAAATATGACTTTACAATTACTGTTTATAGCGGTAGATATTGATATTTTGCCTAGAAACATCTGAATTTTGTTCGCTGCAGTTAACATTGAACTCTGTCATTAACTAATGGAAACCTCTTACATTTAGTGAAGTTTTGAGATCATGGCAACTAAATAGTATAAAGACTGAAAGCATGTATATTCCTATTTTGAGAATTTGGACACCAGATTTTCAGTTTGGGTCCAGAAATGCTGGTATCCAAAATGGATTCCAGAAAAAAATTCTAATCTCAAACCCTGCACCAATGAAAACAGTATACACTCAATTAATGGATCTTCCCCTCATAACTAAACTTTTTATCTAGACAAAAAAATTCATCACAGCTTGAAAGAGCGTCACAAAATTAGTAATATTCCAAAGTTTCGTTGCGAAATGTTGTAAAATGCGGATAATATAGCTTGCGAAATTTGCTGCTTTTTTTAGTAATTTTATTACGCATGGGAAATTGACAGCCCAATCGGGTGTTGTGGCATCAATTTCCCGTTTGTAATACAAAATGACTGAAAATTGCAAATTTCGCAGGGCTATATTATCCGCATTTTACAACATTCGCAACGAAACTTCGGAATATTACTAATTTTGTGATGCTCTTTCAAGCTATGATGAAATTTTTGTTCAGACTTGTCTAGATCAAAATTTTAGTTATAAGGCGAAAGGTGCATTGATAGGCAAAACATGTGTTTAAAAATATAATGCACTGGCTAATTTTGTTAATTCAATTTTATCTTAGTCTCGATATTTGCGCAATGCTCCATGTCATTGTCTTACTTGCCGCGCATCTACAAATTTACTCGATCAGGCTCCAAAGCAGAGTGTAACTAGCAAAAATTAGCATTGGCAAAATATAATAGTGTATTGTTTTCTATTCGGTCAATCTAGAAAATATCCAAACATTCCCCATGCAGGAAATTGGAAGTTGGCTTATCTCCCCATCAAAATCCTTGTATATAGCTATTATTGGACGGCATAAATTTTCCTGTACAGTACCTCTCGGGACATCTTAAGTTTTCTCTGTATCTGTTGGGGTGTATCGATCATTTCAGGAACAACCCATGCATTCTCCAGAATTATAAAAGGGAGCTTAAGCAAGCGACGCTTTTTGTTCACGAACGCCGACTGGAAGTAAATTGGACGATTTTGATGGCGCGTGCAGTCCGTGGTGTGAAATGACAGACGGCAAGTGGATAAGATTTTTATCAAAAAATTCAAAGGTAAAATACGGGTTTTTTTTTTTAATCTACGAAGTAGTTGTCTTATCGCTAGACAATTGGAATCGGTAGAATAAAAACCGATTGTTGAGAGCGCAGTGATCGGAAATTTCCGATTGTTGCACAATCGGTCAATCACTGGCACAGTATATATTGATAATCGCTTTATTAGCATGACCATATTTTACAGGTATTGCTAAAGCTTAACTATAACGTAACAATGTAACATATGAAAATATTTAAGAAGTAGACTATAAGAAGATACTATTTACAGGATGGAAAGTTTAACTAATGACTACCAGCATTCCCGGCTTCAAGTTGTTTAAGTCTTTCCTCAAAACACGAAAAAATAAATTTCGATAAGTTCAGGATGGTGTTACTAGCAGTTGACTTCATTATGTCAACTGATAAAGTTGGTTCGTTTAAGTTTGTCTCAGTAGTAGTCAGATCGTTTTTTAGACTGTTTATAAAGTTTACTCGAGTGTCACCGTAAGCCTCGCAAGTGAGGAGGAGGTGAGATTCATTTTCGACTTCTCCCGAGTGACAAAGGTTGCACAGTCGTTCTTCTCGGGCTATATTATGGTATCTACCAGTTTCAATCTGAAGGCTGTGGTTATATAATCTGAATCGTGTTAAGGTTTTCCTTTTGTTTGAGTCTTTTATTATAGATAAGTACTTTTCTAGTTCGTAATCTATCTTGATGGTTGAATAAAAGGCTAGTTTCGAGGAATTTTCAAGTTTGTGTTTCCAAAATGTGAGGTAATTTTCTTTAAAACGTTTGGTAATAGGTTGAATAAGTTCAGTTGTGATTGATTCCAAGTCAGTGATTTCTGTGTTGAGGTTAAATGCTTTCAAAATATCCATTGCTTTTCCATAATAAGAAGTGTTCTGTTTAGTAAACAAATCTTTTGAGATTAGGAAAGCTTGTTTGGCAATTGCTGTTTCCGATAAAGAGTTCAAATGAGTGATGTACTTGAAAAGTCTTTTGAAGATATTAATAATTAGAGGGAATTTTCCAAGTTCACCTCTTGAGGCGATATTGCTAGCTTTTTTATCAACACCTAGATATAGTTTGCAGAATCTAAGGTGGACTTTTTCAATAGGTAACTTGTCCCAATTGTTAAAATCGTTTTTTACATATGCACCCCATACTTCAGAGTTGTAAAGAAGGATGGGGCTTATAATTCGATCGAACATTTTAATAGCAGATTTTGGGTTAAGATGGTGTATATTGAGTCGTCTTCTCATACTGTATAGTGCGTGGAGGGCTTTTTCGCTCAACTGTTTAAGAGCTAAAGTGAAATTACCATTGTTATTAATCTTAATGCCTAAATAACAGTATTCTTTTCCAACAGTTATATCTTTCTTTCCGAGATTAAGAATTGGTTTCGCTTTTTTAGAATTTGTTTTTTCAAATATCATAACTTGTGTTTTCTTTAAATTTACCTCCATAAGCCATTTATTACTCCAGCTGTGGAGGTCATCCAGACATTTCTGGAGACCGAACCTTGATCTAGATAGTATGATTAGGTCATCAGCATATAAAAGACAGCTCAGTTTTGTTCCATTTGTAAGTATAAATGGATCAGAGCTTGTGTTGTCAAACAAAGTAGCTAACTCGTTTATATAAATGTTGAAAAGAAGAGGACTCAGTATACATCCCTGTCAGTTCTTGTTTTGCTTTGTTTAACAGCGCATTTTGAATTTGAGTAAAGACTTTTAATAAGATTATAAAATTGACCATCAATTTTGTTTTCTAGTAATTTAAAAAATAAACCTTCGTGCCAAACCGAGTCAAAAGCTTTTTTGAAATCTACGAAACATGCATAGATTTTGTCATTTTTTTTCTGTTTAATATGTTTGTCAATTAATGTTTTCAAAGTAAAAATATGGTCAGCAGTTCTATGACCTGATTGAAACCCAATTTGCGATGGATGTATTAAGTTTTGTTCAAGACTAAATTTACTTACGTTTACGGCAAACGTCAAACCGCTAGCGAAGTTTTTGATTTTACAACTCTATTATAATAGTTTTTACACCAGTTTTGAAATATGTTAAACAACTATTAAACTTGTGCTCTTTAGCAATGATTTAAGAAACCAAATTAACCACTAGTCATTAAGGCCCGTCCACACGTGTCCGGATAAATTTGAAAACGCATAAATATTTATCCGTTTTCAAAAAGTTCTGCGTCCACACGTTGTCGTTTCTGAATCGTTTTTGGCGTCCACACATAAACGCGAAAACGATTTGAAAACGCTGACATCGCCTACTGAGCATGCTCTTTAGAGAAAACATGTGACCGCAATCTCGCGTACGCCGAGCCTGCATTCCTTTTGGGCTTCGCTGCTTCGCCGCAAAACAAAGCAAAACATCAAACTGTGTTTGTGCCTCGTGGTTTACATTAAACAGCAGCATATATGTCGATCAAATGATGTCAAATCCAAAAGAAAAAGCACTAAATCAAAAGGAAAAGCCAAGAACGACAACTTTGTTTGGACAGACGACGAAGTCGAACTTCTTTTAAATGTCGTGGTCGAATATAAAGTAAAAAGGACAGCAGAAAATGTCGACTGGGAATCGTGTATCACAAAATACTCTGATATTTTGGATATGTTTATCGCACAGTATCCATCCCCAGAAAACGCTGAAATGATTGGCAAAAGCTTCTCACACAAAGAGCATGAACTAAGCAAAGCTAGTCTGACCGCAAAACTGAAACAGGTGAGGTTGAAGTTCCGATCTGCCGTGGATAGTTGGAGGAAAAGTGGCCATGGTAGAGTGGTCCTTCTCTACTTTGAATTATGTGAACAAATATGGGATGGCTCTCCGGCTACAACCACTTTACCGACAGGAATAGAAACCAGCGAAATACAAGACGAACTCGAGTTAAGTATGTTGAATTCTCCAAGTCCTGCTAGTAGATCTGGTACTTCTCCGAGCAGATGTGGTAACCCTACTAGTAGAGCAAGTACCCCTACTAGTAGAGCTAGTACCCCATCCACCAGCACCATAGAGCTTGACGACGATGAGCGACCTGAGAATGTGATTGAGTCCAATCAACAAAACAATGAGAATGCGAAGGATGCACCATTAAAGGAAAGGAGAGACTTACTGGACGCTAGATTGAAGGGATACAGGCAAGAAAAGCTGAAACGAAAACTTTCCATCGACTCTCAATTGTTAAGTGTTGCTCAAGATGATGTTGAGATTAAGAAAAGGTTGATAGAGAAGCTGGATAACATGGACAAACAGCAAGCAAACAACATGAGTAAACTGACTTCAAATATGGAACAGCTGACTGGGTCCATAATAGAAGGCTTTGCTATGCCAAGGCAAGTAATGCTTCAACCATGTGCCATGCCACAACAGTATACAGCACCGCAACCTGTTTATCTTGACTCCTACAACAGAATGCCTCAGCACCAGCATTCAGCAACCCAGGAGTACGGAAAATACTGTAAACAGTGATTTTCAATTTGCTCGATCACTATTTCCAAATGAAGGATTTTGAAACAGTAGGGCATATGCATATGCCACTTGGACAATTTAGCTATAGTTCTTCCTATAGTATGTAAATATGTAGTTCTTAAATACTTGTAGCTCAGTAGATCTTAATTACTTGTATTTCTGTAGTTCTTAAGTACGAGATATTGCATGATAATGTTTGTAATATTACT